TTGCGCTTGAATACATTTGTATAGTTTAATTAGCATCAGGGAACAATTAAGATACAATCTTCGATCTAACGGTGGACTATATATTATTTAATCAACTAGCTAGTTCAAAATTGAAGAAGACATTAGGCGCCAGATAGGTCATTTACATCTGCTGTTCCAACACTCTGGAATAAACTACCCGTACATATCCGTAACATTAATAATTTTACAGTTTTAAGAACGTTTTGAAGACTCACTTTTTTAAGATTGCGTTTAACGTTTAACTAAATTAAATTAGGCCTAATCAGGTTTTTTTATATGTATAAAATAAGTTAGTAAATAGCATGTAAATAGGTTAGTCTATATCAATTCCTGTAAAGCACATTTGATCAGATTTACATGCTAATTTGCGCTATATAAGTTTTAATTATTATTATTATTTTATTCACTGTAAAAAAATGAATTGATGTTTTTGCTAGAATTTATCGGGCCATTTCACACTGCCCCAAAACGACGCGATTGAGTTCACAAACTGGCTGAATGGAAAATGTCGATCTAGATTTAAAATATTAAAAAAGCTGAAAGTGGCTATACTTGTAATGGCAGTGTATTCATCTTTTTAGTTGGTATACATGCATATTAAATATGTTTGATATAAATTGGCTAAAAATTAAATTGGCTAAAAATTCTATTATAACAGTTTTCTTGCAGAATATAGTTTTCGGAGTTTATAATCTTTTGTAATCCTTGATCGAAGTAAGAAGTTGCGAGAATTATGTCGTAACAAACTACATTGGATTTGTATAAATGGTTATATTGAATTCGCGTAAAAGCTAGCTGGTTGTGTTGTGACCACATATGGTATTCCGGCTTTTAGTATTCCGGGTTTTAGAGATTCCGGCTTTTAGTATTCCGGGTTTTAGAGATTCCCCATTTTAGTATTCCGGGTTTTAGAGATTCCGGCTTTTAGTATTCCGGGTTTTAGAGATTCCGCCTTTTAGTATTCCGGGTTTTAGAGATTCCGGCTTTTAGTATTCCGGGTTTTAGAGATTTCCCATTTTAGTATTCCGGGTTTTAGAGATTCCCCATTTTAGTATTCCGGGTTTTAGAGATTCCGGTTTTTAGTATTCCGGGTTTTAGAGATTCCCCATTTTAGTATTCCGGGTTTTAGAGATTCCGGCTTTTAGTATTCCGGGTTTTAGAGATTCCTGCTTTTAGTATTCCGGGTTTTAGAGATTCCCCATTTTAGTGTTCCGGGTTTTAGAGATTCCCCATTTTAGTATTCCGGGTTTTAGAGATTCCCCATTTTAGTATTCCGGGTTTTAGAGATTCCCCATTTTAGTATTCCGGGTTTTAGAGATTCCGGCTTTTAGTAGTCCGGGTTTTAGAGATTCCCCATTTTAGTATTCCGGGTTTTAGAGATTCCCCATTTTAGTATTCCGGGTTTTAGAGATTCCGGCTTTTAGTATTCCGGCTTTTAGAGATTCCGGCTTTTAGTATTCCGGGTTTTAGAGATTCCGGCTTTTAGTATTCCGGGTTTTAGAGATTCCCCATTTTAGTATTCCGGGTTTTAGAGATTCCGGCTTTTAGTATTCCGGGTTTTAGAGATTCCCCATTTTAGTATTCCAGGTTTTAGAGATTCCCTATTTTAGTATTCCGGGTTTTAGAGATTCCCTATTTTAGTATTCCGGGTTTTAGAGATTCCGGCTTTTAGTATTCTGGGTTTTAGAGATTCCCCATTTTAGTATTCCGGGTTTTAGAGATTCCGGCTTTTAGTATTCCGGGTTTTAGAGATTCCCCATTTTAGTATTCCGGGTTTTAGAGATTCCACATATTAGTATTCCTGGTTTTAGAGATTCCCCATTTTAGTATTCCGTGTTTAAGAAATTCCCCATTTTAGTATTCCGGGTTTTAGAGCTTCCGGCTTTTAGTATTCCGGTTTTAGAGATTCCGGCTTTTAGTATTCCGGGTTTTAGAGATTCCCCATTTTAGTATTCCGGGTTTTAGAGATTCCGGTTTTTAGTATTCTGGGTTTTAGAGATTCCCCATTTTAGTATTCCGGGTTTTAGAGATTCCGGCTTTTAGTATTCCGGGTTTTAGAGATTCCCCATTTTAGTATTCCGGGTTTTAGAGATTCCCCATTTTAGTATTCTGGTTTTCGAGATACCCCATTTTAGTATTCCGGGTTTTAGAGGTTCCCCATTTTAGTATTTCGGGTTTTAGAGATTCCGGCTTTTAGTATTCCGGTTTTTAGAGATTCCCCATTTTAGTATTCCGGGTTTTAGAGATTCCCCATTTTAGTATTCCGGGTTTTAGAGATTCCCCATTTTAGTATTCCGGGTTTTAGCATTCCCCATTCCCCATTCCCCGTTCCCCGATTCCTTTCCCCGATTCCCCATTCCTTGTTATAGTAATAGCCAATCAATTACTCCTGTCAAGGGAGTAATTTTTGACCTTCAAAAGGGTAATTTTTTTACTTCCTGAAATTTACAGTCATATAGGTATTTTTTTTTTCAAAATCATCAATGTTGCCCAAGTGCTGACAAAAAAAAAGCAACTGCCTACATTTTAATAGTATATGATACGGCCAGTGGGCGGAAATAAACCCTTAGGTGTTCGTTTCTAAGGTTTCTTGTGATAAGTTCAAAATAACAAGGTCACGATTATAAGCGTGTCACGCGATCACAAATTTGGTTGTTTCAGGGACTCTTTTGGGGCCCATGAATAGGCAATAATAGAACGAAGTAAAACGAAATAGGAGACCTTTTAACCAATCTGCACGATCTTTACTATCTCCGCGGCATCAAAACTGACAGATACCGGCAACACGCAACGTTGATTAATGAATTGAAACCAGCCGCATGTTGCATGCCCAATGGCAATTTATACCTTATACGATAATTTGGGAATGAAACTTAGTGTTCTATGTTTTCGTACCGGAGTCGCTTATAAGCGAGTGGTGTGAAATCTATAAACCAAACGCACAAGCCATATAAATGTCTTATAATTATTGCATCTGTGGATCATTTTTTCGGCGAAAGCACATCAAACGTATTCAGACGAATGTCGAAAACATTGACGACGCTAACAATGAGGAAGCTGGCGACGCCAACACATTTAATAACAATGATTTGCCCCATGAAGACGCCAGTCATCAATTCATTCGATGGCCACAAATTTATGTGCTTGATGTATGAAATTAATCGGTTAAATTTCAATCGTATACTCGCGAAGAGACTCTGCGGGTCTCTGCCACTCCATGCGTCGCCGCCATCTTAAAAAATTGAAGGGTAACTAAGGGATAAGTTTACCCCGTAAAAATTTACCCCTGAATATACACCTCGTAACATTACCCACAAAACCAGTGTAATTTTTACCCCTCTTTCAATTACCCCTCAATTACCCCTCCGTATTCAACGATTTGGCTACTAACTACCCTGCATTATGGAGTAATTTCTACCCTAAAATCAGTTACTCCTTTCAAGAGAGTAATTTTTGACCTTCAAAGGGGTAATTATTACTCCCTGAAATTTACAGTGTATAATGTATTTTTTTTTTATATAAGAAAGAAAATATGAAGCGAAAATGCTGCAAATTTGACTATGATTTGACTCAGCCGTTTGACTCCTTATATAAACAAACATCCAGACCAGGTGTTTGTCAGACAAATTTAATTTAAACTTGACTGCGAGTATTAATTATAAGGTACAATATTTAAAATATATTGGGCCTTACTTGTATGCCTTATCTGTCGTAACACGCTAAAGGTTTTAAAATAAATTCAAAAACAGCATACAAAGCTTTCACCTCGCAGCTAAACCAAGAGCACAGTATACAACTTTATGTAAACATTGATCATATTTCACTAGGGGAAACAATCGATTGCAAATAAATACGTTCCTATAAACACCCAAAATATAGCATTGATTAGAGAGAATGTCGAGCTAAATAGTCTGTGTATATTAATGTATTTATCTATTCTTCATTGAACATGTTCAGTTCAACAAATTTGGAAAATCGACCACACAGTACTTTACGCGAACAACGGTTATTTTATAATCGCTCAACAAATATAAGTTAATATCCATTCATGATTCTGGTTAAACCACAGTTAAACAAACGTTCTGCCGAATAAAACACTCAACACTAATTTTCTGAGGATTCTGCCTTTTCTTGTTGATGTGTAGAACTTAAACTCAGAGACTGTGTCGTTGAGTGAGCTTCGAGAAGAACATCTATCGTCTATTAACGTATCTAAGTATCGTTTATTACAGTAACGTCTTTAAGAGTTTAACTTCAAACGTCCAGCCTGGCCTTATTAACAACTTCGTTCCTTCAATAAGCGTTATGACGTATTTTATGGAAATACATGCCAATAAAAACTTCGTTTCATGGTAGTCCTTTGTGTTGCTTTATTCACACTCCTTGTATTGTTTTGAACTCGAACGCCACATTTTCCTTCCCTACCCCCCATAAGTCCCAATTGTTATATCCCAAAATCTGGGAGACACGTGACCAGCCTGGACCAGGGTCTTTCCTCCAGTGAGGCGCGTAGTGGAAAGAGCCTGGGTACGAGGTTGCGATTATGCACCATATAAAGGAACCAAAATAAGAAGCGTGTCACTTCCTTGGATTAATCCGCAAATAGGACATAAAATGAATTTACGGTATAAGTGTGATAAAAAGGCAAAGAGACTGATGATGCGTGCAGAGGGGCATAATATCAAAAATTAAGAAATGAAGTTACCTTCGAGGTACGCATGGCAAAAGGCAATTACTGCAAGAGCTTATTTGATGAAGTCAAATGTACTAGATCATATTGGAGCTTAATTAAAACAGCGACGGAAGTTAAAAAGCGAAACATCTGTGATATTAGCAAATTAGACGGTTCATTAACCAACAGTGACAAGGAGAAAGGAGAGGTATTAAATGAGTATTTTGCAGATGTTTGGGAAAGGCTTGCTCAAAACCTCCTGCAAGGTAACCAACTAAACATTTACCCTGTGAATAAAGTAACTCCAACCGTTGCGAATATAGAGAATAATACATGGGTGTGCGGAACTACCAGATATATTTCGAGTGTTAAACATGATACCTCACGAGTGAGCGCAGCGAACGAGTGAGATATCATGTTCAACATGCACGAGAAATAAATCTGGTATTTCCAAGCACACATGTATTTTTTTGTTTATTATATAAACAAAATTCAATGAAAAACAATAAAACGTCCGTGGCAATGCGTTTTACAACAAATGATATTTTCACACGTAAAAATGTCGTATTTTTTAAGTGTGTTTAAATACGATTTTTCTCAGTGGCCAAAAACTCTATATAACACTTATGTTTATATAATAAATTGAGATAACACAGGTGCTGGTTTGTCAAGAAATATCCAAACTTAAACCAAACAAAGCAACAGGCCTTGATAACAGTCGGAAACTGTTAATGCTAGCTGGTGAATCTGTGGTGCCCTCGTTAACGTTCATTTCTAAAATCAGCGCGCATACAAATTCAGACCCAGAAAAATTGAAGAAAAGAATTCTAATGTTACAGCAGTTTATAAGAACGATGACGAAGCGGAAAAAGGAAACTATCGCCCTATTTCCATACTTTGTATCCCTGCAAAAATATTGGAAACTTGTTTTGCGAATGCAATGATTAACCATCTTGAGGTCCACAACCTAAGCAGTAACCACCAATGGGCATATAAAAAAGCCACTCAACAGAGTTGTTGTTAATTAAAATGACTGAAACATGGAGACGAGCCCTTGACAACAAACAAATCGTGGGTATAACCTTTATCGATTTTAGGAAGCCCTTCGACTCAGTTTGTCATCCTATCCTGTTACAGAAACTACAAGCTTTAGGAATAAATGACGATATCTGGCTCTGGATAAAAAATATCTCCAGGACAGGAAAATGTCAACGATTGTAAATGGAACAAAGTCGAAATCATGTCAAGTTAAATTTGGAATACCACAAGGGACGTCGGTTTTAGGGCCGATCTTCTTTTCAATGTTTTGTAATGATCTTCCTGAAATTATGCAAGGCGATGATGGAGAGATTGAAATGTTTGCTGATGATACCACCATATATGTGATTGGACCAAACCCCGATAGTGTTGCAAGTATCCTCAATGAAATGGTACGGAAATTGTCATGGTGGTGTTTGAAGAACTTATTGACGGTTCACACTGGAAAAACAGAATATATGCTATTGGGGTGTGCCTGGTTCATCGGTCCATTGCAGCAAATCAAACTTGATGTGCCTGTCATTAAATTGGTTAACACAAAAATATGTCTTGGTTTAAAAGTGGATTCCTGCCTCAAATGGGACGTTCATGCATTGGAAGTAGTTGAATCGTTCAATAAGAAACTAAACCTGCTTAAATCGTTTCATTTTCTACCTCTGCAAGCACGTCTGGACTTGTATTTTATGGTTATTCTGCCATCTATAACTTATGGAATTTTAATCTGGGGATCCGTTGGGAAAACGATGTTTGACAATTTGGAAAGAATTCACATCAGGGCTGCACGACTAATTTATCAGTATGCCTAGGAGAAACCTTCGAAAGAAGTTCAAACTCAAACAAACTGGAGGCTACTTAAATTGTTTTATAATTTAAAATTCTTAAAACTAGTCTTCAATTATTACCACCATTTATCACCTATAACTTTCCAACATATATTGACAAAGAGAGAACAAGTGTATAACTTTAGAAAAACAAATTGTTTGAAAATTTTAAAACAGACTTCATGAAAAAATCTGTCGGGTATCAAGGTGCAATGTTTTGGGACTCTCTGGAAAATAGTGATAGATCTTTAGATAGTTATATTGCATTGAAAAACAATTTTATTAAGAAACTCTAGATTAATATAAATTTAACTTATTTTATTAACTATTATTCAATTAGTATGCTCAGGACCACTTCAGTTAAGCTGTACTTAATATTGTGTTTAAATAAAAGCTTATTATTATTATTATTATTATTATTATTATTATTATTATTACTATTGGGATAAATACATTTCATTGTGAAAGTAACGAATAATTTAATTTTTTGAGCCTAGAGAAGTAGAGCCATTGGTCGGTTCTGAGAGAGATAGCCCCTTAAATTCATTTCCAATCGTGCAGAATAGACATAAAGACTACAGAGTTAGATGAAAAAATATATCAGCATTGACAATAATTTCCGGGTTTTCGCAGATTATAACTAATTTTAATACGAAAGCGTACTACGTTTACGTACCTCGCTGCATCGATCATCTTTTTTAACTAAATCCACTTGTGATGTTCATGGACACAGAAAAATCGCTTAACTACGATGATATTAACGGCTTGTGTAAAAAAACGGAACAACAGGGCATTTTACAAGTGACTGGAAGCTCTGACGTCTCAACTCCGCTACAATTGAAGCTAAACAAAATAGCCAATTGAAATTGTATCAAATTTCAGAGGCTGTCGATTTCAAATCGCGGTTGGTAACAAGTTTTATTATGGATATTGGTACTTCGAACTTCCAGTTTTTTAACCATATTAGTCACTGGATCCACTTAGGTGCCACTTTCGAGAAATTTAAAGTCGAATTTGATATACGTACAAAGCCCTATTTAGACCCGGTGCTTAATTGTTATCGCTAAAGTTTGTCATAATCGTTCTGTAAAGCCTCATAAAACAAGGCAAGTTTCAAAGTGGAATAAGTTTCACGTTGGAGAGTGAAAACAATCATAAAATTTGATTGGATATTTTTAAAATTATATGTATTTGAATTTAGCTAATTTTTATGCCTGATATATAGGCAGAGGACAACCTCTTGGGCAGAGGATTTTCTGCGCGACGGCGCGGGCCGAAAAATTGCTGAAATTTTAAAAATTAATAAAAATTCCAAATTCCAAATAGTGTTTGTTTGTTCTTGCGGTAAATACATTTCATTGTGAAAATAACGAAGAATTTCATTTCTTGAGCCGAGAGTCATTGGTCGGTTCTTAGAGACAGCCTCTTAAGGCCGGTTTACACGACAAGCGTTTTGGGCACGGCACCCCTGAAAATGGGCACCGTGCCAAAACCGCCACTTCGCTATTTACTCGTTTACACGACAACATTTTGTAAACACACTTTTATGATAGGCACCGTGCCCATCGGAAAACGGCACCTCTACTTTCCGTTTACGACGGTATATTTTAAAGAATAAATACGTCGAACAGAAATAGAATTATATATTTATATTTATTGGAACGAAGAATGAATATGAGCCGAAAATCGAGGGAAAAAACCTATTCAATACTAGAAAAGTACTTTAAGGGCCAGCTCATATGGGCAAAAGTTATCCCGGTTAGCGAGAAAACTTTTCGACAAGTTTACAAGCGAGCCGTCTTGCCTTGGTATGAAAAGAATATGAAAAGTTACACTGCGTTCATATGAGACAAAAAGTTTTCCCGTGTACCGAGATCTCGCTTGTTGACACGGCCAGATCTCGGTGACCGGGGGATAATGTTTTCCCCATATGCATGAACTCAACTTCGAGCTCAACTTTACCGCTTAGCGGGATAACTTTCTGTCGTATCAGTATCTTTTCAATTCAATTGATATTCAGTGCGTGCCCATCGGAAAACGGCACCTTTATTTTCCGTTTACGACGGTATATTTTAAAGAATAAATATGCCGGCCAGAAATAGAATTATATATTTCTATTTATTGGAACGAAGAAGAATATTATATGAGCCGAAAATCGAGGGAAAAACCAATTCAATACTAGGAACGTACTTTAAGGGCCAGTTCATATGGGCAAAAGTTATCCTGGTTAGTGAAAAGACTTTTCGAAAAGTTTACAAGCAAGATCTCGCCTTGGTATGAAAATAATATGAAAAGTTAGTTTACACTGCGTTCATATAAGACTACAAAACGTTTTCCCGTGTACGTACCGAGATCTCGCTTGTCAAGTGATAATGTTTTTCCCATACGAACACAACTCTAGTTCCCGCTTGGCAGGATAGCTTTCTGTCGTGTCAGTAACTTTTCAATTCAATTGATATTCAGTGCTACAGTATGTCACAGCCGGAAACTTTACCCGGTAAGCGGAATAACGTTTCTCCATGCATGTGAACAGAACAAAAGTATATTTGGCTAGTCGAAAAGTTTTCTCGTTAACCGGGATAACCTTTGCCCATATGAACAGGCCCTTAAAGACGAAAGGAGTTGTTTTCTCGCATAAAGTGCCATCTTGTATTCACCCGCCACGAATTCGAGAGGTATGGACGCATCGAACGACAGCTATTTGCTACGACCTAGTTACTGCTCTATTCAGCGACGAACAGTGGTATCAAAATTTCCGAGTCAACTAGAGCAACATTCACATTCTGTGTTAAATTTGTTTTTTAATTAACTTTGTTTTTTTTTAATTTTTGGCAAGTTGTAGTTTTTCGCCGCTTGCTGCCATGTTGGAAAGAGGACAATTTGTTTTGCGCATGCTCCATGTCGAACACATTTTTTAGTTTTTTCGAAATTTGGGCACGGCACCCCTTGCTAGACGTGCCGAGACTACCTCGTGAGAAAGTCTCGGCACGTTTAAATTTTGCGGCACCGGTGCCGATTTTTGTCACGTTTACACGCCAAAAGGCAGAGGTGCCGTGCCTAAAATTTTGGGCACGGGTGCCCATTTTTAGAGGTGCTGTGCCCAAAACACTGGTCGTGTAAACCGGCCTTTAATCAGGCGTTTAGTGCGGGCGCTAAAAGAGAGCGCGTCGTCGAACAAACGCCTGCCCAAATGGCTATGCCAAATATGTGTTTTTGACCGAAAAATCTTCGGCTTTAATTCAATCTCGTTCGTTGACGGAAGTAATTACGTAACTCAAATGTCAATAATAATTTTGCCTGCGTATATATTCTCATAAAAAATATGGCTACATGTTAACTTAATGCTTTGGAGCAAACTCTTTCTGATATTTCAAGTCTTCTAGGATTCGAAATTCAGTTGAAACCAGAACAGAGAAAGTCTATTATTAATTTGTTTACGTAGTACGTGGTGAAAAAGTTATCGCGATTCTTCCCACGTACGATTCGAGATACGAAAAGGTTTGATTTTGCAATTATAATTATCGCCAAATCAACGCTTTCTACATGCCAGCACGAGCAGGGATCGAATATTTCTTATAGTTGTCTGGTAACTTGTCCTCTTGAGAGCATAATTTAGCTGAGGCTACATCACTAACCCTGCAGCTATGAAGTTGGACGGTGGTATTTGCTACACGGCAAAATACGTTTAAACAACCGTTGTTCAGGAGCTTTTTAAAGGATAAAAGCTCTGTGTTGTCTAAAATAGTGTAACGTGCCACACGCTGGTTCAACTTGACTTTTACTAACAATGTCAAAGCTCAATAAAGATACAAATATCTGTCTGAAATATGCTATAAATTAGAACGTTTATAAACTAACTCCGTCTTTCAACTTAGATATCTCAAATCTAACGGTTCTTTCTGCTTACGCTAACTTGCGTGATCTTTGTTCTACACACAATTCATAACTGTCAAAATGTAAACAACTTTACTTAAATATCAAATATAACACTATTTTACACTGCTTTCCTCTCTAAAAAAGGGACACGTCCTCGTGTCGGAATTAAAATTCAAATAACCCAATGTCATTAATTATTCGCATAGGGTTTTAGACGATTAAAGTTCACCACTCTTCTATTTCGACCAACGACCAACTGAACACGATACGATAAACGGAATCAGATAACCGTTTCACGACACGATAAGGTCCAGACCATGCGTGGTATAGTTTCTTTGACTTCGTTTTCGCTGAGCAATGCGTGTACAGCCAAACCCGATCTTCTTTTTCATAAGGATTTCCGGACGTGCGCTCATTGTAATACTCCCGTTGTTTCTTCCGCACAACTTTCATCCGCTGTCGAACATCTTTATATGCCTTTTCTAAGTTTTCCAACTTTTCTGTTCCACATAAATATTCATCGACTTCTCACTCTCCGTTTCTCCAAACATTATGTCCAACGGAAGTCGCACCTCTCTTCCAAACGTAATGAAATATGGGGTTTGCCGCCTTGATTCCTGGATACTAGAACGATACGCCAACATGACCAGTTGTAGACACTCATCCCAGTTCTTTTGATTTTCATTCACATACCTTGATAACATCGCTTCCAGCGTTTAACCAGACCATCGGATTGAGGGTGGTAGGGTGATGCTCTCGTTTTATGGATTTGTAACAACTCGCAAATTTCTTGAATCAACCACACTGGTACCCTGGGTGCCAGAGGTTCTTCCATGCTCGTAGGGGGGGGGGGGATGATAATGAGGGATACACGAGGATTCAAGCCGGGCGGCGATCGGGAAGAACCTCTGGAACACTTCTATGGCTTTTACTGTTTTAACTGTCTCATGTCAATCAAACGTTATAGCCAATAGAACACGTACTTATTTTTGACTGATGATGATTTGGGCGTATTCAACCGAACATTTGAGCGATGGAAATTACGACAGAATGTGTCAATTTCAAAACAAAAAATTAAAATTAGCGAGTCGCTATAGTAAAATAAACCGAATAATATTATATGGCCACATGGCATTAGACCGTAGACCTGTTAAAAGTGTTATAAAAAAGCGGAGACGAGTACTGTCGAGTTTGTGGTGAATTTGTTATTTACAGTGGGTTTTTAGTATATACAGTAAAAGGATCGTCGCCTCGGTAGATTGAACTTTGAAGCATAATTTTCTTGTAAAACCAATATTTGCCGTCCAAGGCCCTGTTTATATAGAGGCGAGTTACTCTGCAATTGGCGAATAAAACTTATCTAATGAGTAATGATTCGTATGTATTTTTAAACAATATATTATATTTCAAATGCAAAGCACATACATTTATACACATACATTCGATCTCGGGCGGCCGAGTTAACAAATACCCGAACATCTTTTGTTTAATATGGTAAAGATTTATCTCGCCGAAGGCAATATCTCGCCTCTTTCTGCCGGGAACTCGTCACTGGCGAGTTTATACTCGGCTGTATCGTCATGTAAACAGTTCCCCGGGTTTACTACTGTATGTCCTGTATAAGTTTCTATAATATAGTCGGGATCTTGTCGTTGACGAGTATAAACTCGACTTGCTGGGTAATTCGCCTCGATATAAATAGGCCTATAAAGACTCCCATCTTGTCTTGGCATGCTTGATTACTAGACAGACACGCACACGAAATTCCCTCTTGGCAATATAGTAAACATGTCACGGCGATGCATCAACTGAAGCACAGAAACAAGGCATCATCTTTCTTGATGTTTATTGAGTTTTGTAACACCGTCCAGTAAAAAATTTCAAAATCGAATCAACCGCGACCGAGTTGTTGAAATCCTTTCGCAAGACTCGCAAAACTAGAGGCATATATATTTACGCCAGACTATGTTATAAATATAATATTATATCTTTACAACAGCGTATGCCTGAACGGATTCTGAACGATAATATCTTAAAGGACATACGGTTCAAACAGCCAATGAAAGTCATTGTTTTAACAAGTCCCTGCCGTTAACCAATTAACACAGTGATCCAGATTATGGATCACACTATTAAGCATCGTGATTGGTGCGACTCGATATGAGAAACCATAGAAGTGTTCTAGAGGTTCTTCCCGCTTGCCGCCGCCCAGCTTTAATCCTTGTGTATCCCTCATTATCCCCCTACGAGCATGGAAGATCCTCTGGCACCCAGGGTGCCACGCTGGTCATATTCAGCAAATTTTCTTCCAGTACCGCAGACTCGCATATTTCAGCGGACTTACTGTGAAAAATTGAAACTTTTGCATTTTGCAAAGAACTGACAATATGAGCCCGCACGAGTGGGAGAAATATTGCTAAATTTGACCAACGTGAACTCAGACTCGAAATTGCTGCCCTGATCTGTATGAAGTTGTTCTGGTACGCGTAATGACAAACATACTCATTCCCAAACACCTGTGCAACTGTCGCGGCTTCTTGATTTGGTAAGGAAAGAACTTCTGTCCAGCGAGTATAATAGTTACAAACTACAAGGATATACTTGTTATCGCGTTCCGTTTTCGGAAATTGGCCAACAATATCCATTACAACTCGTTCGCCTGGGTATCCAACTTTAGTTGTGACTAACGGTGCTCGTGGTTTGTGCTTGAGACTGTTTCTTTTACTGTATTGAAATGTGTAACAAACTTTTCACAAATATTATTAACAATCCGACACACAAACTGCATAATTTACTGCCTCCCAAACATGAGTCGGTTTACCAACTCAGGAACAATAGACTGTTTGAACGATTCGAAACTAATACAGAAAGATTTAAAAAAAACTTTTATTCCTATGTCTAGTAACTTAAGTTAATGTAATTTTTAGTACTAAGCGTTTTAATGACCATTTGTAAATATGCCTAATTAACCCATATTCCATCTTTTAAATAATGTTTTATATACTCTTGTAAATCACGCAATTCATCTGTCCAGCTGCAAGGTGAATTTTAAATACACTATCTATCTATCTAAGTCCTGCGCCAGCTTTCAACGTCTCGCTGCAGTCCACTCCAATAGAATCTTTGTTTGACTCTTTCCACCGCCTTTGTTACCCCAAGATGCTCGCAAGTTGGATTGTTGTGCGAAAGATCTAAAACAACCGGTAGTCAATTTATCCCGGGCATTCTGTGACCCCCGTCCGCGATCATATCAGATCATGTCAGCGGCTCAGCATTTAGCATTAATTAATATATTTCAAATTCGCGCGCGAATTATGAATTAAAGATATTATTTTAATTGAATATAATACACTTAAAAAACAAACGTGACCCTAACTCTACTCTAACCGAAAGGTATTGTATAAAGGCAAACTTAAGAAAAATCGTAAAGAAAAAAATATGACAACGAAAAACAAAATATTGTCCATTGCTGGAATCGAACCACTAATTAGCAACACGTTAGGTCGCGCTCAACGCCCTAGACAAACACGCCACCGGCACTCGCTGAAGTACAAATGCAGAAAATCTAAATATATAGTGGTCACATATATAAATAAAACGATCCGCTCACAATTAGTATATAATATTGCGATGGTATGGCATTTATTGTTTTTCTAGACAAGTTAAGTACCTCAAATTTCAGAGAGGTTAGTTTGTGAATTTTCTCAGAGGATGTATTAATTTGTATGTACATGGGAATGTATTTTTAGACAAAATAAACTAGTATAAACCAGTCATGTTTGTTCTTTGATGGTAAATACGGTATTGGAATGATGGCCCATGTATCTAAAAATATTTCCACTTTCCAAAGTTTTAAAATTCCTTTGGAATTTTGAGTAAAATCTTCGAACTTCGGGCGATGTTACTTAAGTGATTTACTAGATGCCGCAGACATGATCTGACATGATCGCGGACGGGGGTCACAGAACGCCAGGAATAAATTGACTACCAAAACAACCGGTACTAGGGATTCAGGAATAATAATTTGCAATCTTGTAGAGGTACCATCTTGTGACTTCCAACGATGATACAAAATTCCGTTCTCTACTGTGAATCTTTGCCAGTTAGACCATAAGACATGATTAGCTCGACTACTTCCTCGATACCATTACCTACTCGATATCTGCTCTTACACTCTCAATCGGAGGAACTAACACTTGTTCATTCAGCTGGGCTTGTCTGGGCTATTCTGGGAATCCAGCTGCAACTTTCCTCAACCTTCTCTTTACTCACTGCCATGACACACTTTCCGTTATCTACGTAAGCCACGTGTTTGGTATTATCGGGACTTCCCTCAGTACTCGGTCTCCTTGATAAACCATCTGCATTGGCATGAATTTTCCCAGGACGATGCTCGACCACGAAATCAAACTCAGACAGGAATTCAAGCCATCAAGCGATCTGACCGACCGGTTTTTGAAGCTTTTCAACCATTTTAAGGCGTTGTGATCCGTTCTAACTGTAAATTGTATTCCATACAGATAATGTCGATTGTGCTTAACCGATTCGATAATGGCCAAAAATTCTTTCCGTGTAGTGGAATATCGACGTTCTGGTTTCGACAGTGTCCTACTGTTATATCCAATAACCTTGCAAGTGATGAACCAGGAGGGAATCGTAATCGTATTATAAAGATTAATTCCCAATGAAAACTGCCCATTGCAGCGTGAAAATCAAATTAAAAACCTTCTAGCCTCATTGAAGAAATCTGAATCGATCACGCAAGCAACCTATAAACAACTCTATCCTACTGGCTCTCGCATTGGTATCTTATACGGACTTCCGAAAATACACAAGAACTATATTCCACTTAGACCAATTCTATCATGTATTAATAATTATTCTTATAAGATTGCCAAGTTCTTTGTTCCCATTCTAAGTCCTATTTGCTCTAGCCCCTTCATGATTCGTGATTCTTTCTCCTTTGTGCAGGAATTGTTAAGTCTAGACTTTAATTCCGATAATCTTGCCATGGCTAGCTTTGATGTCACGTCCTTGTTTACTAATATCCCACTGGACGAAACCATTGAAATAATTGCCGATCGCTTGTTTTCGAATGCCATCCGTTTTCATGATCTCACTCGCTCTGAATTCAAACAACTTTTGAATTGCGCTGTCAAAAACTGCCATTTCTTGTTCAATGGTTCCCTATATCAACAGGTAGACGGCGTAGCAATGGGCTCTCCTCTTGGGCCTCTATTTGCTAACATTTTTTTATCTTTTCATGAAACCATTTGGCTTAATAATTGCCCTACCAATTTTAAGCCTTTACTATATCGCCGATATGTAGACGATACCTTCCTTCTATTCCGTTCTAGGGACCATATTCCTCTTTTTCTTGCATATCTCAATCGCCAACATCCTAACATTAACTTTACGTGTGAAGTTGAATCCAATTGTCAACATTCTTTCCTTGACATTACTGTCACACGAACTAATGGTCACTTTGAAACCTCTGTTTATCGTAAACCTACATTCACAGGGCTTTTAACTAATTTCTATAGCTTCACACCTCTCAAATTTAAACGTGGTTTAATATATTCACTATTACACCGCTTTTTCAATATTTGCTCTAACTGTGAGAATTTCCATGCTCAGATTGAGTTTAATAGAAAAGTCCTCAACCAGAACGGTTATCCTACTCGTTTTTTCGATCGTTGTGTTCGACTCTTTCTTGATAAAACCTTTCAACCCAAGGAATTAATCCATTCTGTATCTAAGAAAGTGGTATATTTTTGTCTTCCATATACCGGAACACACTCTCTCCAAATCCGTACCCAAATTCAACGCCTTTGCTCTGTAGCCTTCCCACATATAAACATCAGAATCGTTTTTCGTCCCACTCTACGTTTGTCCAATTTCTTCATGTTTAAGGACAAAATTCCCGATGCTTTGAGGTCTTGTGTAGTTTATTCTTTTAAGTGTCGATGCTGTTCCGCGTCGTATGTGGGCCAAACGGTCCGCCATCTACATACACGAGTCTCTGAACACCTGGGTATTTCCGCCTTAACTGGTAAGACGAGTAGCAGTCCTCAACTGACGAGCATCTTTTCCCATCTGAGCCACTCAGGTCATACTGCTTCTCTTGATGATTTTAAGATCCTATCATCATGTTCCTCTCCAGATGAACTTCTCGTCCGTGAAAGTCTTCTCATCTCAAAGCTCAAACCTACTTTAAATCAGCAAGGTAGCTCCATTCCTCTCTCACTCCTCTGACGTCTCTCCTTAACCCCCCCCCCTCTGCATTCCTATTACCTCATCACCTTGTAATTTGATATTGTAAATAATTTATTCATATTTGTAACTTATTGTCATACTATATTCATTTACGCTGAAGATGTCTTGGGTTAAAGACGAAACGTTAGTACTTCTAAATAAATTTTATTTCTATATTTTTGTCTATATGGCTCTCTTTCGTACGTTATGCTGGGCATTAATCTTTATAATACGATTACAGGTAAACTGTGTGAAGCATTCCTCTTTTGAGTTCCTAATTCATTGGAATTTTCATAATTAGCTTTGCAAATTTGAAAAAGTCTTTGCAAAACCCTTGAGGGAATTGGCAATGTTCCTGTCTGCTGTTGCAATATTCCAATGTAGAGAAACTCCCTTTTAAATGTTCCTAACTTCCTGTTTTAATTTCCTGACTTCCTGTTCTGTTCTGTTCTGAGCATTGTCATATTGGTTGATTATTTTTGATAGCCAACAGAACAGAACAGAACAGAACAGAACAGAACAGAACAGAACAGAACAGAACAGGGAGTTAGAAACTTCTAACAGGGACTGAGGAAACTGTATTTGGCTCTTATCATAACAACATTTCAAATTCCCTCAAGGGATTTGCAAGGGATTTCTTAAAATGTGCAAAGGGTAATGAGAAAAATTGCAAAAGAGGAACGCTTGACGTAGTTAACATGTAAGAGAACAATAAAGCAGTTCCGCTCCATCAGCTCCAACTTTAATGCCAGCTTTGTGCAGCCAGGATTAAACATATTAAAAGCTATTAATCAGTAGTATATTAGATTCGTTTATTCAAATAAAACACCTTGCAGTCATAGACTGAATTATGTGAATATTTACAACAATTGAGTTTTATATATTATTACAACAAGTTTGAATAATTAAAAATAAAAGTAACTTGTAAGTCAATTTATCACCTATATTAATTGTTGTTAAAATTTATATATTTGAGCTATGACTAATAATAAAAGATTTTTTAAGATGATCTGTCTTACTAACAGGTACATTAAACCTTCGTTCGCTCCTTAAATCGTTATGATGATGTCGTTGCGGTGGAAGTAGGCCACTGAGCTTATGATTCAGATTATTAACAATATCTTCAAAAAGATGACTTGATAGTTGGGCTCGTCAAAGAGAGTGCAAATGCCTGCGTCTTTTAGCGCGTCAGCATATTTCAAGTCCGGGTGGGTGATACGCATAGCGCGCCTTTGGATACTCTCAAGTTCATTTGACAGATATTTAGGGAGACTCCGATGAAATAACTGGCATGAATATTCCAGAAGTGATCTGATGGCACTACAGTAAAAAGTGATAAGATCTTTTGGACAGATACCGACTCTTTTTAATTGTCTCAAAATATACAGTCGTTTTGCGGCTTTTACGGTGACAATACCGATATGGTCGTTCCACTTAAAATTGTCCCGGATTGTTACGCCAAGAATTTTGGCTGCGCTAACTCTTTCTAACTGGAAATCATTGAGTTCGACTAAAGGGAATAATGGAGGGTTTCTCTTGAAACATGATCGTACTTCTTTACACTTAGTTGGTTTCAATTGTAATCGATTTTCTTCAGACCATGCATCGATATAGTCAACAGCTTGCTGAAGAGAGCTTTGCTTGGAGGGTGGTATCACTTCAGAGATTGTGCAATCGGCGAATTTCCACATAGGTAAGGTAAGGATTCCTGAGGTAGCTTAAGATCATTGATTAGTACTAAAAACAACCAGGGACCAAGATGAGTTCCTTGAGGCACTCCTGCTGGGACGTCAAGCCAATCGGAAACGATGTTGTTTAGTTTAACCCTCTGCTTTCTATGTCTTAGGAAATCAATTATCCAATTGACGGCCGTGGGTTTTACGCCTATACTAAACAGTTTGGCGACTAAAATATTATGGTCCACAAGGTCAAAAGCTTTGCGGAAATCTAAAAGTATGGTTCTTATGGTGGATGCAGTGCTGTCAGTAGCTTGTAACCAATGATGGAACATAGAGATTAGTGCTAGAGTAGAACAGGTTTCAACGCAATGTCTATGATGAAGCTCTCAGCAACTTCTGAGAGGGTGGGTGTTAGAGAGATTGGTCTTAAATCCTCATTGATGTTGCAGATAGAAGATGCCTTAGGCAGAGGACAAACATTGGCAAGTTTCCATGCGTCAGGAACTTTACATTCCAAGAACGAAGTATTTAGGATATCAGCAATTGGGGCCGCTAGAATATATGCAAAATTGTTAAGTACCCAGTTAGGGAGGTTGTCGGGACCACTGGCACGAGAAGCATTTAGCTCTAAAAGCTTTCTTGCGACAGAGTGTTCAGTGACAGATATTGGTCGATCATCGGCCATTTCTACACGTATACAATCTGACAGAGGTAAATAATCATTCATTATGTTGACAAACACCGAATTGATGTTTTCAGCCAGAGATTCCTTATCACAGACAAGGTTTGGATGGAGTAATGAGGTTAGGTCCCATTTTGGAATTTTACTGGCGTCACAAATCTGTTTAACTTCTCTCCACCAGTCACAGGGCTTGGAATCTCGTAAACCTTTAACTTTGTTAACGTAGTACGATTTTCTGCAGCGTTTGCATGCTTGATTGACTTTGTTTCTTAGAATTTTGCAGAGAGGATTGTTACCAGATGTAAAAGCTTTTTGGCGACGAGAGATGAGCTGTTTTAGATTAGTGTTCATCCAGGGCCGATCTGATTCATGTATCTTGATGGTTGACACGGGCATGATGGTATTTAGGCCAAAATTTGTTATATCTGTAAGGATGTTAAGTTTATCTTCACTTGACTGAGCTGGGGAGAACAAGTCAGACCAAGGTACTTGTTGAAGAAATCGACCAACACTTGCTATTTTAGTAGGTCGTTTATCTCTCGTCGTAATTAATTTGCGTTTGGGCTTAGAGGTTTTATCACAAATTCTAGCCGAGATAAATATAGTTTGATGGTCCGAAAGACCAAATGCGGGTAAACTACACGGGGGTGAGAAATACTCTGTAAGGTTGGTAAAAATTTGGTCAAGAGTTCCATCTCCTCTAGTAGGGAAGTCAACGACCGGTTTAAGTTAAAAGACTTTCACAGCAGACTGGAGCAAGGGGAGGAGCGTTTTGTTGAAGTCTCCAGCTAGAACGATTGCGCAATTAGGGTATTTTATCTCTAAGATCTCCAAGGACGATATAAGGTAGTCCTTCATAGTGGCGTCGTCCGCGACTGGAGGTTGATATACTACAGCTACTATGATATTTGAGATACCACGTGGTAAGCGTTTTGGTCGAAGATTTGCCCAAAGAACTTCATGATCACTGTGATTTAGGTCTGCTAAGATGTTACAATGTATTGAATCTTTTACGTACATACATACGCCTCCATGAAGCTGGTTGGCACGGTCTCTTCTATAAAGTTGATGTTTGATATTAATAGAAATATCAGTAACGGTATCACACAACCAAGTTTCAGTGAATAGGGCAATATCGGCATCAACGGTTTTGATGGTATAAGTGATTTCGTCGATTTTTGGAGCAAGCGACATCGTATTGGATAACAGAATTGACGGGACAAAATGTTTTAACGACGGGCAATCATTTTTGATTATTTTAACGGGAATTAGGTTATGAACATTTCGCGTACGATTACCCATTGGGATTCTGGTATGAGGTTTGTGTATACGACGATTGGGGATTATTTTAATAGGTATATTAAAAGTGGCCTTGGCATTAATTGTAACAATGTTCGATCTTAAATTCTTGTCGATTGTTCTAATTCTGTTTTCTGTGTTAATTTGTTTACAAGGATCAGGTAGTTTCCCCAGTCCGGTGGCCGATTTGAAGAGCAATTCTTCCGAAAATTTTTCCGGTTAAATACAGAGGTATCTATATGTGATATGGGTTGTGGCATATAATTGCATCGCTTCGATTTGACTTGACTAGATCTGGTGTTTTTGCGGTTTCGGGTTGATTTCCTTGTAGTTTTTTGGTGTGTTATTCCAGAATTATCAAGGACATCTATCATTCTGTCGGTGTGAGAGTGCTTAGTACGATATTCCTTCAATTGATCATCAAACGATGGGGGCATAGTTGACGGACTGTAATTTTGGTCAATGCCTGTACCAATCTCATCGACTGTGGTGGAATTTCCATTAGGTGAGGATAAGCCGGCATGTTGATCATCCAAAATGGATATGACATTGGGATAGTAATTCGATAGGGTGTTATCAAGGCTAAGAGCCTCTGATGTTATACTGGCTTCCTCAACTGTGACAAAAGATTCTATACATGATTCGTCCTGAAAGTTACAAACTGCAAAAGGATTTAGGCTTTGATGCTGTTGTTGATTAGGTTCTGTTGATGACGGGGTGATGTTAGTTCGGTCAAGTGTTGAAGTTGGCAAGACGCTTGGTTGATCTGAATAATTAACAAAATTTGCATTACACAAGGCTATCATAGTTTTCAGCCCATTGCATAGTGATTCAATGGTATTGATAAGACCATTGTTCTCATTAGCCATTCTAACAATACTTTCTGCAATGTTATTGTTATTGGTGTTGATGTTCTCATTTGTGTTAACTAAACGATCGACCTGTTGAACAACTTCGCCGAGCTGATTTTGAATAATGGCGAATTCTGCCTGAACTTGATTTATTGCATTGCCATTGATTCGAATTTTGTTATCAATCTTCGACTCGGAGATCACCAAATCGAGTTTTAAGCCCTCGAATTCAGTCGACAATTCATTACACCTGCTTGCACAACGCTCTCCGCTCTGGTTAGGATATTGAGTGAATTCGATATCCGTCTGAATGCCCACTTCACATGTATTTACACTACAAAGATGATCGGTGGAACGGCGCTTGGCTGGAGTAGATTCGTGATAAAAATGTTTCATTAATGTACTCATTTGTTTGAGGTCTGACTTTATTCAGATCATATCTAAGAGAAACGACTGCAAACCATGCAATCTTTGTCACCTTCTGGATCGTTTAATTGATTGTATTCATCAGGATCTGATATTTTATTTACACTCAGATCAATTAGTTTGTTCTTTAGTACAATTCCTAGTTGATCATGGAAGATTAGTGCTTTCTTGTGTATATACCAGTTAATAGATATTAAATCATTCCGATATGATTTAGCACTGCCACCGGGCGAACTCCACTTGCCGACATCGCCGAATAACGCGGACATAAACGCTTTTAAATCATTCAAATTGCCCAGCCATTTCACCTTTCCATCGTTACTGCATTCTATAAACTCTTTATACATAAAGTAGACTTTGGAGAGTTTATATTCGAGCTTGATTTGTTGAGATTCAACGCTGTTAGTTAAGTCATGACCGGTCGCCATTTTGATTATGTACAGTATGTACAACATGAAGCAGTACAACATGAAGCAGTTTTCTGGGTTTGAAACATTGGAGGTCATTAGGTGGAAATGATTCGCTTAATTGGCTACGCTACTGTCCTATTCATGGCCACATAAATAATTTGAAGCTAATAAACTAACTCAAGTATAACTAACAAATATACTGTAATAATTATCAAGTTCTTTAACTTTGGTAAATGTACAGTTTAATGCTAACATTCATGAAAGCTCTTACAATATCATCAAGCTGATCATTTCTGATGTCCGAAAACCCAGTTCTTGCCACAATATCCAGCTCTCGTACTCGGCGCCATATAGTCCAACGTGAAACCAACAATAGTTGAGCAATCTCTTTCCACTTAAAGCCTAGAGTCCTTAGGTTTAACAAAACTTTTTCATCAATGTTATATTTAGGCCTTCCTGGTCCTGCACTTATGCAATGTCCAGGATGACTAATGAAAAAGACTGCCAAGTGAGTACAGGCTGTGTTACTTCTCTGCCAAAGTTCTTGTAGTTTGCGACACCACACATGATATAAGAGCTTCAAGTTGTTTCCAACCTCAGATATAGCATCTCTACATTCGTTTACAGATGGCAACACATTTTCCACGAATTTTACAGCGGATTCTAACTGGTTTATTACTGATTCAATAACATTTTGATCAATGTTGCCGTCTTGCTCTTCACAAATATCTAACAATGCCGCAACGTCTTCAAAACAGGCCATAAAAAGGCCCTCTTCATTATTTTCAATAGCCGCCATTTTCGATTTCAATTTGGCAATTGGCACGCAGGGGACTGGTTCCGGATTTGTTGCATATACTGTCAACAGTATGTCCGGAACTTTAAGGACACTTTAAGGACCTTTCCCGGACACACTTTTCGCATTTTTATATTCAACAGATTTTCGCATTTATATATTCAACATTGAATAAGAATGTAAACTTTTCGTGTTGAATATAATTATTTTAGGTTGAAGTTGAATAAATATATTTCATATGTGTTTATTGTTGAATATGAATATAGTTATTGTTGTTGAATATAATTATTTTAGGTTGAAGTTGAATAAATATATTTCATATGTGTTTATTGTTGAATATGAATATAGTTATTGTTGTTGAATATAATTATTTTCGGTTGAAGTTGAATAAATATATTTCATATGTGTTTATTGTTGAATATGAATATAATTTTGTTGTTGAATATAATTATTCTAGGTTGAAGTTGAATGTAAATATACATTGTTGAATTTTGCAACAAAATGCCAACCATAATTAATACTGTATTGTAAAATGTTTTGCTCAACAACAAAGGTAATTGATTTCTAAAGGACCTAGTCACAAAATATTCATGAATGAATAGTTTAATGAGGTATATAACTATATAAATACCTCATCAAACTATTCATGATGTATTTAACTAGACATATATACACAATGAATACTTTAATCAGGTATATATCTAGATAAATATCTCATTATAAACTACTTGTGATACATTTATTTAGCGGTAAATACCTCGTGCTCTGTTTGTCTCTTGTTAACTCGATCGTCTATTTGCATATTAATTAACAGAATATAGAACAAAATATAAATACATGTAAAGCCGGTTACAGACGAACAAGTTTTCTATGACAAGTTTTTATGTGACAAGTTTTATTTGCTCGTCTGTACGCACAAGTTTTTCTATGAGCATGCTAGCTTTTCAACAAGTGCACTTGTCATAGAAAAAATTGTCAAAGGACAAAGACAAAGTACAAATTTTGTTCGTCTGTATGGGACAAGAAAGAAAACTTGTCAAAGTTATCTGAGCATTTGATGTGATTGGCCAGCGAACTATTATAATTTTTCTGTCATGGGTGGCAATAAACACCTTTTTCTGACACGTTCAGACCAATAAATAAAACTTGTCATATAAAATTTGTTGCATATACACATGTGCACTTGGCAAATAAAATTTGTCACATAAAAACTTGTCATAGAAAACTTACTCGTCTGTAACCGGCTTAAATGATATCAAATGTTTTAAATTATGCTGAATGTGTATTCAAGCACAGAAGTATAAATTTGAACCAGTATTAAAATGTATATTGCTTATGAACGTAACTGTGTTTGTTTCCAATTTGAAATTTCATTTTAACGCCTCTGTGCGCCCAACGTCGCAAGGTTCATAAGTTGTGTGGCTGCATTGGCTGCATCTCGCTCTTCTGAATCCTTATCTGCATTACTTTGGCACTGACTTTCAGAGACTTCGTTATCATATAAACTTGAATTCTCTGGTGGCTCTGCATAAGACAACGCATCTGTGGGCATTCTTGAGTCGGTTGAGTGGCTAATAACCTTCGTTTCACGCGCATGAAGTGGAAACGTTTGTGCTAGCCCTGTTTCACCCTTGGCTATGAAGAACCTGAAATACACAGGAACAGTACATGCGCAGCCTTTGTTGACGATACAGAGTTGTAGATATCATCTGGCCACAAATTGGTAGAAGTTTGTTGTGTTTTGGTGTCAGATTTTTCTGAAGTAGGACCAGTGTTGGGAGTTACAGATTAAATTCCTTTGCTAGTGCTGGGAAATTTGATTTCACTCTCTGCAGTTTCTTGTGTGTTGCATGCTCGTTTCACAAGAAGCGCATCGATCTAAGCTAATTTGTTTTCTTTTTGTACCAGTCGTCTGCTTTTTAGTAGATGTAGTAGTCACTTGTGTAGATGAAGGAGCAGAAGAAACTTTAGGAGGAACTTTAGGATGAACTGGCATGGCAGACTTCAATAAGGTTGGAAGGTGTGCTTTAAAATAATGGTCTCATGGCTGAAGCGCTTTAACTGGTTTGCACAAGGTAACAAAATGATTTTTGGTGGATGTAATTCTTCGATCAACGAAATAAGACGGTGGCATCGCAGCACAACGAAAGATATGGACATATTCAATTGCACTGCCATCAAGATAATCCCGTGGATATATTGTACAATTGAATCCAAGGAATCCCAATTTTCTTTCGCTACAGTATCATTGGTGAGTGGGTAGTATTACTGAATGGCACACTGAATTACTGTGGACAAGGCAAACATGCACACCATGGATGAGAATGTGTAATTTTTTGCAGTTTCCTTTGCTTCTTCCAAAACTGCTGCAATTTCATTAGAATTCTCGAAAAAAGTAAGTGCTGCATCAGATACACACATACAAAAAGGCATTTTTAAGTGAAGTGAACACTACGTTTTTATGCTGGGACTCATTGAGGGGATACATAGTATTTGGCATTGTCAAACAGTTCAATACTGGTGAGGCATCTCAAGTGAGCACACAAACTCTCATTCCCAATTAACGCAATAGAACATGTATTAAAGAGACAATTCCCATTAGCCGAAGTACTGAAAGAAAATCAGCATTTAAGTATCAATGGTTATTTTATATTATTTTGTGAATATTCTAATGAAACTTCTAACCAGAATGTCAACTTCTTTGTACCACACAGTAATTATGTGATTATACTTTGCAAACTTCACTCAAATTATCTGGATCAGAACAAATGTTATGCCTTGCCATTTGAGAAATAGCAAGGAACCATTTGTTTTCCCAAATGGTTTCCCTCCTTTTGCTTGTATAATCATGGGTCACTTTCCATATAACTTTGTGCCGAAAGGATAATTACTAGAATTAATCACGGTAGCCAATAGAATTAGAGTTGGTTTTAAGGTCAGGACTGGAGATTAAATTTTGGGATTGTTAATATGGAAATTGAGCCATAATCATAATTACTTTAACAATGAGTACAATGTCTTTGTGTAATTTGAGTAACATCATGATGACATCAAATTCACAGCTGGCCTTGACTAACTCATGGGAATTTGATGCTTGTGATGTTACTCTGAGTGTATATCCACACCGGCAAGCTTGAAAAATATGCCTGACCACGGTGGGAATTGAACCTATGACCTTTGGAATACTAGCCCATGATTATTAGATTACATTGAATACCAAATCATTATATTAGATTACATTGATATTGAAGGAACTAGATTCTGTTCTGAAATATCACATACTCGAACCGACCAGACCGAATAGCTCAGTTGGCAGAGCATCGGGCTAGTATTCCAAAGGTCGTAGGTTCGATTCTCACCGTGGTCAGGCATATTTTTCAAGCTTGCCCGGTGTGGATATACACTCAGAGTAACATCACAAGTATCTTATTCACCTGAGTACATTACACCAACACAAAAAAAAAATCATGGGAATTTGTTGCAGTTTTAGATTTGTGATTAGGTTTTAATGTCAGGATCAGGATTAGGTTAGAATCCCACCGTGGCCAGGCATATTTTTCAAGCCTGCCCGGTGTGGATATGCACTCAGAGTAACAACATACAGGCATCTTATTCACATGAGTACATTACACCAACACAGCAAATATCATGATTACTAGATTACACTGATATCGGAGGAACTATACTCAGTTCCAAAGTATTATTGACATGACAACCGCCATGTGTTTGAGATCATATTACCATTTCACTGACAAAAATTTACATACAATGTCATACAAATTTGCATATCAGAAATTATTCCCTTACCCCAGCGTAAATGCAAATTTAATACAAGTCGATTAAAAATTCTTACCTAACAGGAACATTAGGCTCAGATCTTTCAATTTGGCTCTTGGGGAACTGCAGTTTTGAAAATTTGCACGTTCGCACGTTTCTTCAGTGATAAATTCATCACATTGTTTCCTCAACAGCGATAATTCCCATGAAATATGTTTGCTTGTTGAAAGATTTGAACGAGCTTCCTAAGAACATCGACCTTTTTAAAAGCTTCCATCCTGATAGCATTCGATTCAGCGAACTGCCCAATGTAGCTTGCGATGTAACTTTATCCCATCAAGTCGACAAGTATCGAACTTTATTGTTGATCATTTGCATTGCGCAATAAAAATAAAGCCACCGTGGCGCACATGACCACAACTTGCCCTGTGATTGGTTTGCAACGCTGCAACGTGGCAGAAAGTTACTATACTTAGTAACAATTGTGCAATTTTTTGCCTGCTGACCGTGGCAATTTGTGGCTGTGATCGCAGCTTCGAATTTACAACTGTTTTCCGAACATATTCGGCACAATTCGGCACGCTTTCGGCGGTTTTTATAGTTCAGTGTTTAACTGGATAATTATACTATTGATCAAGGAATATATTTCGGAAGTGTTTCCTGCTTTTAGCAACCAGGTGATCTTGTGTTCGTATTTTAGCCAATCAGCGCTCAGAAAGGGTTGTCCGAATAGAAATCCATTTTGATGTATTCAGTCAATTATATCTTTCGTTATTCTTTATGAAACTAGTTGAAATTTTGCAATTATGTTTGCTTATGAGAACCATAGCTCTGACAAAAATATTGAATCGAAATAAAGTATATTACAGGAGATATTCAGTTGTTTTAATCATAAAATGGATTTCTATTTGACAACTAGTGCCAGTACTTTTCCGCGTATCAAGATCACCTGGAAGAATCCATATTAATATGAGAACAATTACGAAAGATATTATTCAAATTGTTTGCTATGGACCTATATTTGCTCAATTTTGCTGTATTTCAAATAATTAATATATACTTCTTGAAAATGCGTAATGCAGTATCCAACAAAGGTGAACCCCGGAAAATCCTAGGTGGGAAAAATCTGACCGTGGCTCGAGCCACTTTTGCCACGGTCTGGATCCGCGCCTGCTTAATAATAATCATGAATATGTGTGTCATTTATTGAAGTGAAATTCATCAAC